CATGTATGTGCAGATAAGTGTGTGTGCAGATGACCATGTGTGTGCAGGTGCGTGTGTATAGACAAGTGTGTGTTTGCAGACGACTCTGTGTGTGTGTGTGTGTGTGTGTGTGTGTGTGTGTGTGTGTGTGCATCTCTGTGTGTGCACCACAAGGGAAAAAGGCTGAGTCTGAGGAGTTGCACCAGCAGGGGAAATGGTTTCATGCAAATTGGTTACATTTGGTATAATAATAATAATAATAATAATAGCTAACATTTCTATAACACCTACTGTGTGCCCAGCACTATACTAAGCACTTTACAAACATCATTCCATTTGATCCTCACAATGTCTCTGGGAAGTAGGGACTATTATTGTCCCCGTTTTACAGATGAGGAAATTGAAGCAGGCAGAGATTAAGTGACTTGCCCAGGGTCCCATAGCTAGTCAGTGTCTGAGGCCAAATTTGAACTCAGGTCTTCCCGACTTTAAACTGGGCTTTCTATCCACTGTGTCAGCTACCTGTCTGATTAAATCCTTAGGATTTAGAGCTGGATGGGACATCAAAGATTATCTAGTACCATTTTCCAGATGAGTGCCTGAGGCCTAGGGGGAAGAAAGGGATTTGTCCAAGTTCATCCTTGACAAAATCAATCATTCAGTTTATGACCTTGTAATTTTACCATGGCTCCTGACTGGGTGACTCCTGGCCTATAGCCCTTATGACCATGACCCCTAACCTTTGTTATAGACGGCACGATGGATAGACCACTGGGTTTGCAGTAAAGAAGACCTGAGTTCAAATCTGGCCTCAGATCCTTACTGGTTTTGTGACCCTGGGCAAGTCACTTAACCCTGTTTGCCTCAGTTTCCTTATTTGTAAAATGAGCTGGAGAAGAAAATGGCAAATGACTCCAGTAACTCTGCCAAGAAAACCCCAAATGGGGTCACGAAGAGTCAGAAACAACTGAACAACAACAAAACCATATGCCAGGCCCTTTGCTAGGCACTGGAAATGCTATGCACCGAACAGAATTGGCTCTGCCCTTTCGAAGGTTACATTTGACTGGAGGGATATGACACTTACACATCTGAGGAAACAAGATAATTTGTGGCAGGAGAGATCACAGACAAGTGAAGTTAGGGGCAGGGGAGATCAGAGGGGCTTCCCCTAGGAGATGATACCTGAACTGAGCCTTGCATGAAGCCTCTGAGAAGCAGAGGTGAGGAGAGCATTTTTGGAAACACAGCCCGTGCAAAGACAGGGAGAGGAGAGACGGAATGAAATGTAGAATGAGTGATTTAAGTCTGGAAACATAAGTGGGAGCCAGACAAGAGAGGAATCTAAGTGTAGGCTAAGGATTTTGTAACCTAGAAGCAATGGGAAGCCATTGCAGATGTCTGAGGGAGGGTATGGCAAGATCAGACTTGTGTCATAGGAAGGAGGATGGACGGAGGATGGATTGGAGGGCAGCGGAAGACTTGAGGCAGACAGTCAAGAGGCTGTTACAACAGGCTAAACTAGAGGTGAAGAGAGCCTGGGCTGAGAGGAGAGAAGGGAACAGATGGGAGAAACATGGAGGTAGCTATAATAAGATTAGCAACTGATTGGATACGGCGTGTGAGGGAGAATGAGGACGACTCTGAGGCTGTGAGTGCAGGAAAATGGTGGTGCATCATCAGGAATGGGAAAGTTTGGAGGAGGGATGGGTATGGGGCAAAGACAATGAGTTCCATTTCAGACAGGTTGAGTTTGAGACAGAAATAGAAAGGATCTTAGAGTATAGCCCCCTCAGAAGAGCCATGGGGAGTCAGGAGACCCAAGTTCTAATCCTACCCCTCTCCCCTATTTGCTGTGGGCTCTCAAGCAAGGCTGTTTTCTACTCTGAGCCTGTTTCCCTTTCTCTAAAATGGGATGGACTTGATCGGCCTCCCTTCTGACTCTACATCTTGGGAATGAGTGAGGAAGAGAGGAGGAAATAGAGAGCAGGCAGAAGAAAGGGGACTGGGACCCTCTTGCTAACCTCCATCTGCCTCCCACCCTTACCCCTTCCAGGGAATGCTGTCCTTGGTTCTGAACTGTATCGACCGTCTCAACGTCTACTCCACGGCCGCCCACTTTGCTGAGTTTTCAGGAGACGAGGCAGCGGAGTCTTGGAAGGAGATTGTGAACTTACTCTATGAGCTTTTGGGTAAGAAGCCCCCACCTGAAGTCACACAGTCCTAGGCCCCCTGTTTTTCAGTCCCCTCAGTTTCTCTCCTCTATCTCTGACTCTCACTCCAAGTCCCTGTCCTCTAAGGCCTGGGACACCCAAGATCCCATGGTCCCATGTGACATCAGAGATGCTTCTGATTTTGGAGCATCCCAACCTCTGACTCTGCCCATCCTCAGCCTCTTTGATTCGGGGGAACCGTACCAATTGTGCCCTCTTCTCCCACAACCTCGACTGGCTCGTCAGCAAGTTGGATCGGTTGGAGGCTTCTTCTGGTATGGCAACCCCAACGGAAATGGATGAGGGGGAGGGTCACCTTCAAGCAGGAGACCCACAGTGAGTCAGAGACAGACACTCAAGGAAATTCAGAAAGGAGAGACCCAGAGAGATACAGAATAAGAGACAGACAGAGTCACAGAGGGAGACTGAGACAAAGGAATTAAGAGCTGGAACGGACATGAGGCCATCCAATCCAACCACTTCATTTTACAGATGGGGAAATAGGTCCAGAGGGGATGGATACCCTGCCCAAGGCCATTGCTAGCAAGCAGGAGAATAAGGGACATGAATCAAGGGAGAAACAGAGGGAGCCCTGAAATGAGATAGAGGCAAAGGGAGAGAGGTTGGAAAAGACAGTGACAGGCAGTGCTGGAGCCTGTATCCTGCCTGCCATCACTTCAGGGATCCTGGAGGTCCTTTATTGTGTACTGATCGAGAGTCCAGAAGTCCTTAACATTATTCAGGAGAATCACATCAAATCCATCATTTCTCTGTTGGACAAGCATGGCCGGAATCACAAGGTCTGTGTTCCAACCTCTGACCCTGACCTCTCACCCCACTACCTCTTCTCCTCTAACCTCTAACCCTTCTTCCCAAACCACGACCTGACCCACTCCCACATCATGATCTCTGAACCTGTTGCTCTCCTTTGGCCCTATAGTCTGACCACTAACCCCTGACCTTTCCCACCCAGGTTCTGGATGTATTATGCTCTCTGTGCGTGTGTAACGGCGTCGCTGTCCGCTCCAACCAGGTCCTCATCACTGAGAACCTCCTTCCAGGGCGTGAGCTCCTACTGCAGACCAACCTCATTAACTATGTCACCAGGTCTGAGCCTGACTCTGACCCCGTAACTAAGACCATTATGGCTAATGTGTTACCAGGGTGAGGTCCAATCCCTGATCTTTGAGACCCCTCAATCAAACCTAATCCTTATGTACCCCAAATTCAAGCCTGGGGTCCCCAGCCCTCCTCAAATCCCCCTACCCTCCATCCTATCTGCATCTCCTCTCTGCTCCTCCCTCATTTCCCTTGATAGCTTGCTTCACATACAGCCTCTCCTGCCAGTAATTCTTCCCTTTATCCCTCCCTCTTGTATCCCATTTCTGTCTCTCCTTCTTGTGCCTTTCTCCACATCCTCCCTTATAACTTCCCCAGTACCCTGTCTCTTTTTTCTATGTCTCCTTCCCTCCATATCTATCCTCCATTTCTTTCCCCAGATCTCTTTCCCTTTGTTATTTTCCTATATACTTTGTGTCTCTGTCGTTTCTCTGCTCCTCATGTCTCTTGTGCTACACCTCTCTCCCTCTTCTATCTCTCACCCAAGTCTTCCTCCCTCCCTTTCTCTTTCCTATGTCACCCTTCCTTTAGATCTCTCCTATCTCCATCTCCCTCTATATCTCTCCTGCCTCTATTGGTCTCCTTCACTCTGTGTCTCATTCTCCACACCTCTCTCCCCAGCATACGCCCCAATATCTTCGTGGGCCAGGCCGAGGGGACCACCCAGTATGGGAAGTGGTACTTTGAAGTCATGGTGGACTCAGTGGAACCTTTCCTGACTGCCCAAGCTACACACCTGAGGGTGGGCTGGGCCCTCACTGAGGGATACAGCCCCTACCCTGGGGGTGGGGAAGGCTGGGGTGGCAACGGCGTTGGAGACGACCTCTACTCCTATGGCTTTGATGGACTGCACCTCTGGTCTGGTACTGCACTCTGACCTCCCAGTACACTGACCCCTGGGGCTCTCCAATCTATTTCCTGGGGGCTTGATATCAGGGAAACTCTATTCCCTGAACTCTAATGTCCTAGAACTGCTGATCTCTGATCCCAGTCTCTAAGGAGCTTAAAGGGACCCTCTGATTCTAATCTTTGATTTCTAAACCTAATTCACAGACCCTTAATCAGAGGGTATTCCCAGTTTCTAAATCTTTTCTCCTAGGACTCCTGGCCCTTGATGTCTTATGCCTAGAATCCTTTGTCTCTGACTCTCATGTCTTCTGGGTACCCTGATCTAATCTCCCCAAATTCAGACCCCTAGGGACTTCTAAGCCCTATTGCCTAGAGCCCTTGACCCCCATATCTCCTGGGGCCCCCACTGCCTGTGCCACTTCTGTGATCCCCCATCACCCCCAATTGCAGGGCGAGTTGCCCGGCCAGTGGCCTCCCCAGGCCAGCACCTCCTGGCTGCAGAAGATGTGGTTAGCTGTTGCCTGGATCTGAGTGTCCCATCCATCTCATTCCGAATCAATGGCTGCCCTGTGCAAGGTGTCTTTGAAGCATTCAACCTGGATGGGCTCTTCTTCCCTGTGGTCAGCTTCTCTGCTGGTGTTCGGTAAGAAGGTCCTTCCCCCTGTTCCTGCTCCATCCCCTCCCTCTCTCCTATTACTGTCCATTTCCCTTTCCTCTTCCCCGTCCTCTCTTCCCATAAACGTTTTGTCCCAGCCCCCAAGACTTCCCAAATCTGTGGGTCCCCAGGGCCCAGGGAGGTAAAGTTACATAAATAAGAAATGGTAAAGGACTTGAACTCAGGTACTGGTACTCTGGAACAGCTAGGGGGTGCCATAATGCATAGAGCTCAGGCCTGAAGTCAGGAAGACCTATCTTCCTGAGTTCAAATCTGGCCTCGCACACTTACTAGCTGTGTGACACTGGGCAAGTAATTTAACCCCATTTGCCTTAATTTCCTCGTCTGTAAAATGAGCTGGAGAAGGAAATGGCAAGCATTCCAGTATCTATTCCAAGACAACCCTAAATGGGGTCATGCAGAATAGGATGTGGTGCTCCAAGTCCAGTAGTGTTTATTTCTTTAAAAAATAAACATGTGTCTTGGGCAAGTCACTTAACCTCGATTGCCTTAGCCAAAAAACAAACAAAAAAAATTACAAATAAAAAATAAACATTTTTTGGAGAAGCTAGGTGGTACAGTGGATAGAGCTCCAGCCTTGGAGTCAGGAGAACCTGAGTTCAAATTGGCCTCAGACCCTTAACACTTAGTAGCTGTGTGACCTTGGGCAAGTCACTTAACCCTGATTGCCTCACCAAAAAAATAAATAAATAACTAAAAATAAACATTTTTGTTGATATTTTTGGGTTTTATATCAGCTATATTTCCTAATGTATCTCTCTCTGCTCCACTTCGCTTAAAAGAGAGCTGTCCCTTAAAAGGAATAAAAATGGGGGGGGGAAGGTGGGGAAAGCAATTCAAAAAAACTAATCAATGTATCTGCCAAGCCTGATGCAGTGTTCAGTGTTCCACGCCATAGTCTCCGCCCTCTGCAAAGAAGCAAGAAGGGGGCCCTTTCTCCTATCTCTTATTTTATTATAATGGCACCATTTCTATTCTCTCATCACTTCATGGTACAGGGGGCAGAGTCCTAGACTTTGAGTCACTAGACCTAGGTTCGAATTCTAGCTCTGACATCAATTAGCTGTGTGACAGGAAAGTCACTTTTCTGGGCCTTATTTTCCTCTCTTATAAAATGATGTAAAGAATATTCATACTATCCAGGGTGGCTTTGAGGATAGTAAGTGTTCATGCTTGGAAAGTGGGAGCTATGACTGTTATCCCCTAGGATCCCTTTCTATTTCCTCCACCTTTAAATCCCCTTTCTGCCTCCCCCTCAACTATCCCACCCTAGACATTTCTTTCAAGGCACCCTGTGACCCCTACATCCCCTTCCTCCCTCTTCCTTCTCTTCCTACCTAGGGTACGATTTCTCCTGGGTGGTCGCCATGGAGATTTCAAATTCCTCCCCCCACCGGGTTATGCCCCGTGCCATGAGGCTCTACTCCCCCGAGAGCGCCTCCGACTGGAGCCCATAAAGGAGTACCGTCGGGAAGGAGCCCATGGGCCCCACCTCTTGGGACCTACCTGCTGCCTGTCCCACACCGACTTTGTGCCCTGCCCTGTGGACACTGTCCAGGTAGACTTCAGGGGCAATAAGTCTGGGGGGCAGTGGGGTGGGAGGCAGTAAGAGGAAGGAAGTAGCAAGGGGAGACCCAGTCCATGAATATCATCCAAATAATATCTCAGTAAAGCGGAAGCTTATAGAGGGTAGGGATGTTTCATTTTTTTATCTTTATATCCCGGCATCCAGCACAGTGTCTGGTGGCATGGTAGGTGCCTTAATTAGTGCTTATTAAATTGAATTGAATGGGGGAGGGCAGCCAGTCACCTGGTAGATGAGGTAAAAGAGATGAATGAAGACTTAAGAAATTTGGGAGGTAGGGTTAGGATCTTGTGGGCCGTGAGTGCCAGATGAAGGCTCAGCCCCACAATCTGCCCAGGCCTCGGGCAAATCACTTCACCATGTGACTCAGTTCCCTGATGTATAAAATGAAGGCATTGGGGGAAAAAATTTTAAAATTTTAAGAAAATGAAAGCATTGGAATGGATGACCTCCAAGCTCCTTCCTTGTTCTAAATCTCTGTTCCTATAGTATAATATCTAAGGAAAGGGAGAATTGGAGACTCTTAGGAACTCATTCATCTCCTTCCTTATCCTTCCAGGGAAGGGAGTTGTAGAAACAGCACAGATTAGGGACCCAAGATCCTGGGTCCTTTGGAGTCAGGAGAACTTGTGTTCTTTGGTTGATCTCTTGGAGCCTTAATATCCTCCTCTAACAAATAAAGGGATCAAACTAGATGCTCTCCAAGGATCATTCCAAGTCTAAGTTTTATGGTCTTTTATTTGTACCCTATCCATTGACCTTTCCTTGTTAGAGACAAAGATCCTTAAAAATCCCCACTGATCAGGGGACCTCAACTTTCCTCTCTCAGAGCTAGATAAATCTAACCACAAAATAAATAAGAAAGAAGTTAAGGAGTTGGATAGAATCTTAGAGAAGTTAGAAAAGATAGAACTCTGGAGAAAATTGAATGGAAATGGAAAGGAGTGTACCTTTTTTCTCAGCTGTACATGGCACCTTCACAAAAATTGACAATGTAATAGGGCATAAAAACCTCGCAACCAAATGCAGAAAAGCAGAACTATTAAATGCACCCTTTTCAGACCATAATGCAATAAAAATTACATTCAATAAAGGGCTGTGGAAGAATAGCTTAAAATTAATTGGAAACTAAATAACCTAATCCTAAAGAATGAGTGGGTCAAAGAACAAATAATAGGGAAAAAATCAATAATTTTATTAAAGAGAATGACAATGAGACAACATACTAAAATTTATGGGATGACGCCAAAGAAGTACTGAGGGGAGGAAATTGTATCTCTAAATGCATACATCAATAAAAGAAAGAGCAGATCAATTAATTGGGCATGCAACTCAAAAAACTAAAAGAACAAATGAAAAATTCCCAATTATGAAAATTAAACACCAAAACAGAACACCAAAATGAAATCCTGAAAAATCAAAGGAGAAATGAATAAAATTGAAAGTAAAAAGATCATTGAACTAATAAATAAAATTAGGAGCTGGTTTTATGAAAAAAAAAATCTGTTGGTTAATTTGATTTAAAAAAAGAGAGTTTGTTATCAAATTACCAGTATAAAAAATGTAAAGGGTGAATGCACCACCAATGAAAATGAAATTAAAACAATTATTAGGGCTAGCAATTATTAAATTAGCAATAATTAAAGCAATTATTTTCCTCAATTATATGCCAGTAAGACTGACAATCTAAGCAAAATGAATGAATATTTACAAAAATATAAATCTCCCAGATTAGCAGAAGAAGAAATAAAATACTTAAAAGAAATCCCCATTGATCTTAGAGTGGGTAAGAAGAAAGAGATGAGTAACTGAGGGGAGTAACTGAGGGCTGTGTTCTTGACTGATGGGGGTCCATAATTAGTGTTTAGAGTTGAATGGGAACAGGTGATCTGGTCCCTAAGCCCTAGGAGAGAGGGAAAAAAAGGGTCCTAGGGAGAGGGTCTGAGACCATGGGGAGGTAGGGGAAGTGTCATACGAGTGGAAGGCCCATGACTTCATGTGGCCACTTCTCCCTCAAAGATTGTTTTGCCGCCTCACCTGGAACGGATCCGAGAGAAGTTGGCAGAAAACATCCATGAGCTCTGGGCTCTGACTCGCATCGAGCAAGGATGGACCTATGGCCCGGTGAGGAAGGGCTGGCTGTAGTGGGACCAAGATGCCTAAACTGGCCCTGGGAGGAGGGAGGATTTTCCCATCATAGTGGGAAGGATGTCCCCATGGACATGGAAGCATCAGAACTAGGAGGAAAGGAAGGATGGAAGCTGGGATGCAACCCTGACTGGAATCTGGGAAGTGACTTCTGACTGCCCCAATGACACGCCCTCCCTCAAACCAGGTGCGGGATGATAACAAACGACTTCACCCATGCCTGGTGAACTTTCACAACCTCCCAGAGCCTGAGAGAAACTACAATCTGCAGATGTCAGGGGAGACACTCAAGTAAGGAGCCCAGAGTTGGGAAGAGAGATATTGAGGCTGAAAGAAAAAGAGAGAGATCAGGAAAAGCACAGACTGGGAGAAGGAGAGGCAGAAAAACTGAGATCTGGGGGCTAGGGAAAGACCACAAAATAGATTGTGAGGGAAAGAGATAGAGCAAAGACAGAGTGCGAGAAGAGAGTACAGAGAGAAGGGAGAGGGGAGAGAAAGTGCTGGGAGCCAGGAAAACAGATTAAGACAGAGACAGAGGCAGAGACTGGTTCAGAGGGAACTCAAGATATATTGGGAGAGATCTTGGGCAAAGGGGAAGTGTGTGGATCTGGGGGGATGGGCTTAAGGGATTGATCCCTGCTCCCTCTCCAGGACCCTGCTTGCTTTGGGGTGCCACGTAGGCATGGCTGATGAGAAGGCTGAGGAGAACCTCAAGAAGACGAAACTCCCCAAGACGTGAGTTTGGAGCAGCCTGGGGTGAAGTAGGGTGGAGGGGGGCTGGATGAGAGGATTGAAGTCAAAAGCAAGGGACCATAAGGCCAGGGGGAAGGTTCTAGAGGCTCAAGGGTCCACAAACGTCTTAGCAGGCAAGAATGATCAGATCTACAAAGATAAAATATAAAAGAGAAATATAAAGTCTTCCATCTGGGTCCCAAAACTTAACTATTAGTGGATTCCAGACTCCAGATGATACAATATTGTCAGCCAACTGGTCAGCAATCATTGGCAGCCAAGAACACCATCATAACCTTCAGCCATTGTATTCAAGGAGGCCACAGCCAAGGGAGGTGATAGCGACCCTGTATGTGGCCCTAGTCAGACCAGATACATCTGGAGACTGATCTTTTATTCTGGACAGCACATTCTTAAGGCCAATGAAAAACTGGAGGACATTCAGAGGAAGGTGACCAAGATGGTGAGAGAATTAGTGACCCTAGAGCATATAAGGAGCAGTTGAAGGAACTGAAGATCTTTAGCCTAGAGAAGACATTAGGCGTGGGTGACATGAAAGCTTGTTTCCTGGAAGAGGTGCTGGACTTGTTCCATTTGGCCCCAAAGTTGGAAGACCCAGGAGCCTCAGAGGAATGGGAGGGGGGAGTTGGTTCAATAAGCTGAGACCACTTGTCAGGAATGTTATGGAGGGGATACCTGCTCAGGTCTGGGTCATACTCCCTTACAGTTATGTCATTATGAGTAACAGGGTCAGAGGCAAGGGGGACCAGAAGATCAAGGGTTAGAGGACAGTCCTTTTTGGCATCCATAGGTACATGATGAGTAATCGGTACAAGCCAGCTCCGTTGGACCTGAGCCACGTGCGGTTAACACCAGCACAGACAACGCTTGTTGACCGGCTGGCTGAGAATGGGCACAATGTGTGGGCGAGAGACCGTGTAGGTCAAGGCTGGAGCTACAGTGCTGTCCAAGACATCCCTGCCCGGAGGAACCCCCGGCTTGTCCCCTACCGCCTCCTGGATGAGGCCACCAAACGTAGCAACCGAGACAGCCTCTGCCAAGCCGTGCGCACCCTCCTGGGTTATGGCTACAACATTGAGCCACCTGACCAAGAGTCCAGTGAGTGACCCTTGATCTCTGACCTCTCATGCACCTTTAGGATTCAGGAGTCCAGCAAATGACTCCAGTTTTTTTACCCCAGTTTTTTTAACCAAACCAGAGAGGATTCATCTTTCTCTCCCCTCTTTTTAACTCCTCCCTATCTGCTTGACTCTCTCTCTCTCTCTCTGTGTGTCTCTCTCTCTGTCTTTTGGTCTCTGATTCAATTTTTTCTCTGTTTTTTTATCCCTCTTTCCCTCAGTGTCTCTCTCCCTTTCCCCTTCCCACCTCTTTTCTACCCCTTTATCTCTTTCTCTTTTTAACTGTCTTTCTCTCTTATACCCTCCCTTTCTTCCTATCCTCATTTTTCCCTCTTCTTGTTTGTTTTTCTCATTCCTATTTCCTCTATATCTCCTTTCCAATTCAATTCAACAAGTGATTATTATTCTCCATCCCTCCATCCCTATCTCTCTTTCCAGCTTCCTCTGTATCTTCCTCTCTCCCTGTCTCTGTCTCTGTCACTCTTTCTACCTCACTGACCATTTGTCCTCAAGTTAGGAGAGAGTGAGACTATTCATCAGAATTGGTCACCCCTCCTCTCTTCATGATGACCCTTTTCACCGGCCCCCTCATCAGAATCCTAGGAAACTTCTTTCTTCTTTACCCACCTCATTCCCTTTATGTTCCTTGACCACTCTGTCCCTTCTGACCTATCTCCCTCCTTGGTGTTCCCTGCCCCCAGGCCTAGTGGAAAGCCAGAGTAGTGGGGACCGAGTGCGCATCTTCCGGGCGGAACGCACCTACGCAGTTCAGAGTGGCCGCTGGTATTTTGAATTCGAGGCCATCACCACTGGAGAGATGCGTGTGGGCTGGGCCCGTCCAGAGCTGCGGCCAGATGTGGAGCTGGGAGCAGATGACTTGGCTTATGTCTTCAATGGCCACCGAGTGAGTACCTCCTGCTCATCTTGACCCTACCCTGTTCTCCTAAACTTGGCTTCCCCTTAACCTGTACCCTAGCCAACAACATTTCCTGTAAGGAGAATCTTCTCCCCAGGCCTGCTCTAGTCCTGTTCTATGTTTGGCCTGTCATCCACCCACCTTCCCCCCACATGAATCCCCAGTCCATCTGACTTCTCCCAAGGAGAAATCCCTCTTCTTCTCTGTCCTCCTCCAGAATACAGGACCACCCTCATTCCCTAGTCCTCCCTGAGATAGGCAAGATGGACCCTATGAACCACCAGGGCCAAAAGGCCACATTCCTCTCTCCCTCTTCCACCTCTTCTCATTGCTGATCATAGACATCTTCTTTCAAAATGAATCTTGATGCAGAACCTAGAAGAAAACAAATCACAAAAAAATCCAAAGGGCGATTTTTATCTATCTCTCTATTTAATTACGAATATTTATTCATCCATCTATCCGCCCACCCAGCTATTGATTTATTCATCTACTTATTTACCTAACCAGCCTTCCAAATTTTCTTTCATTGATTCATTCCTCTATCCATCCACCCATCTTTTCATTTATTCATCCACCTGTCAATTGATTCATTCATTCATCCAAATTTTTATTCCTTCACTCATTCTTTCAGGTATCTATCCTTCCAACTAAACTCTTTAATCTACTCACCCTATGATATGATCTATCGATTCAGTCATCTACTAATCCATCCAAATTTTTACTGAAGACAAGAATAGAAAGGCACATAGAGACAATATCCTCCTTCCTCCCTGATTCTGAGGGAAAGGGTAGAGGACGTCCCAAAGTAGAGGTAGAATTTGGGAGTAATGCTGGGGAATGAAGAGAATGCTAAGGATCTTCCTCACTCTTCCATGCCTGGAAACTTACACCTTTTCTCTGTGTTTTTCCCTGGGTCTCAATGTTTCCATGTATCTCTGTGATGCTCTCTGTTATCCATGGCTGTCCCTCATTCTGCACATCTGTAGGGGCAGCGCTGGCACATGGGTAGTGAACCATTTGGGCGACCTTGGCAGCCGGGAGATGTCGTTGGGTGTATGATTGACCTCACGGAGAACACCATCCTTTTCACACTCAATGGAGAAGTGCTCATGTCTGACTCAGGCTCAGAGACAGCCTTCAAGGAAATTGAGATGGGAGATGGTGAGGATGCCCATCTTAGCCCCTCTTCCAGCCTCCCCTTGTCCCCAAAGCTCTTGAGTCTCCCTTGAGGCAGTAGCAAACTTGGAGTCAGGAGGACATAAGTTCAAATCCCAGCTCAGACACACAGTCTCTGAGCAAGTCACTTAATTGCTGTCTGCCTCAGTTTCCTCATATGTAAAATAGGGGTAATAGGTAACTAGCCCCTACTTTCCAGGTATCCTATAAAATGGGATAATGTTTGAAGAGAGATCTGCAAAGCTTGAAGTGCTATGTAAATACTAGCTATTATTATTGTTGTAGTTCACAGAGGTTGCTGTAAAGAAAGTGTTTTGTAAACTTAAAAGCCTCAGAGACATATCTGCCTTCTGACCCCCTGTGATCCTCATCCCCTTCTCTTGTGCCCCTCTCATCCTCCCTCCCACCCAGGATTCCTCCCTGTCTGCAGCCTGGGCCTGGGCCAGGTGGGACGCCTAAATTTAGGCCAGGATGTGGGATCTCTTCGCTACTTCACCATCTGTGGACTCCAGGAGGGCTTTGAGCCTTTTGCCATCAACATGCAGAGACCTGTCACCACCTGGTTCAGCAAGAGTCTGCCCCAGTTTGAACCTATGCCCCCTGACCATCCGCACTATGAGGTGAGACCACCCCCTTCCCTTTAGAGGACCAGAGATGCCCAACCTCCTCTTCTGCCTTTCCCCCTCTCAGATGATCCTCTGTGACATCAACTTGGCGTCCACTTCACTGGGAGTTGGGAGATCTGAGCCTAGGACATAACTCACATCACTGTGAGAGTGCAGTATGGGGACGAAGCTGGGCTGGAGTCAGGAGAACAGGGGCTCCGCTTTTGCCTTTGCCACTACCTAGGTGTGGGATCTAACATCTCTGGGCTCCTACTTCCTCTTTGAAATAAGAGTCATGCTAGATAAACTATAAATTCCCTTCCAGCTCCAAAACACTCTAATTCTGTTATGAGATTTAGAGAAATACACACCTAGGTACAATTTGGTGTGTTCCTCACTAACTTTTACTGTTTTCCATCTTTGGCTAATTATGTACCAATTAGTGCCAACAATGAATGCCCTGAAGTGGTTGTATGTTTCAAATTTACATTTTTGGGGGTTACAATTGTAGAAAAATATGGTCATTGTCTTCAGCCCAGTGGAAATAGGCAATGTGAATTTGAATAATGTAACCACTTCCAGGGGAATAATTCATTGCTTGCACTGATTAGGACTTGGCTATATTCAGTCTGGTTTTCTTAAATAGATCTAACTTATCAAGCAATGGACATTTATTAAGCATCTACTGTGTGTCAAGCATTGTGCTAGGCATTGGAAATACAAGTCCAGAGAAGGGAATTGTCCCCACTTGCAGGGAGCTTACATTCTAATGAAGGATTCAACAAGAACATATAAAAATATAATCAAGATAAAGTGAATCAATACAGAAATATACAAATAAGTGCAATAGAAAGTGGGAAGGACAAACACAGCTGAGGCAATCCATCGAAAAAGGTTCAGGCAGAAGGTGATCTTGAGACTCTGTGGTTTCTGGGGCCTGATGCCCCATTCCCCAACAATTCCACTCCCACAGGTGACCCGAGTGGATGGCACAGTGGACACTCCTCCCTGCCTGCGCCTGACGCATCGCACGTGGGGCTCCCAGAATAGCCTGGTGGAGATGATGTTTCTACGGCTGAGCCTTCCCGTCCAGTTCTATCAGCACTTTCGCTGCACTCCGGGGGCCACTCCTCTGGCTCCTCCGGGCCCCCAGCCTCCTGGGGATGATGAGGTCCGGGCGGCTGAGCCTGACCCTGACTATGAGCAGCTGCAACGTTCAGCAGGACGCCCGGGCGAGGCTGAGGGGAACAAGGATGGGAATGGGGGGTCCACCAAAGACGGGGGCCCTTCTCAGACAGGGGCTGAGGCAGCAGGAGGGTCCCCAGTCCGGGCTGAGAATGAGAAGGATGCTGCCACTGAGAAGAGCAAGAAGAGGGGGTGAGTGCGGTGGGTCCTGATCCGGGGCAGTATATCTCAACTCAAAGAGAGGCAACATGGTATCGGGTGGGAAGGGGACTGTACATATATGGAAGAAGTGAGTTCAAAAGCCAGCTGTGCTCATTCCTAGCTGCGTGACCTTCTCTGAGCCTTGCCTACAGAATGAGAGGGTTGAACTAGGTGGTATCTGAGGCCCCTCTAGAACTTACGATCTTGAGCTTGTACTCTGGCATGTCAAGAGGACCAGGTTTACTCAGTGCCCCCAACACTGGGCACCCTGACGTACCCCAAAAGATCCTAAAATATTCCAATGGGCCCTCAACATTTGAGGTGGATAGGATAGGTCTGGAGTTTCTTCCCCCAAGTTGATGACTTGGAGGGACTTTTTGGGGGCGGGGGAGAGAGCAGGTACCATGATGTCAGAAACACAGAAACAAGTAAGTGTGGGATCTGAGGGAGGGGCTCTTCTGTCTCTTCTCTCCCACCCCACCCTCAGATTCTTGTTCAAGGCTAAGAAGGCAGCCATGATGACCCAACCACCTGCTACACCTGCTTTGCCCCGACTTCCTCATGATGTAGTACCCGCTGACGACAGGGATGACCCGGAGATTATCCTCAACACCACCACGGTGAGGATTATGAGATAAGGTGGGGCCCTAGGGTAGAGTCCTCACACCTCCACAGAGAACTCAGAATCTGGTTCCCTAATGGTCTGTCCCAACTTATCCTGTGGAGATCCCCCAGGTCTTCCAGCATTCATCAGTACTGGTCAAGGGCTGGAGGGCTCAGCGGGTCCCCTCTGTTCTTGCGCCACTCACCACACTCCGCTCCTCTCTTTCTTTTTCCTAGTATTACTACTCGGTCCGGGTGTTCGCAGGCCAGGAGCCCAGCTCAGTGTGGGTAGGCTGGGTCACCCCCGACTACCACCAGTATGACATGAATTTTGACCTCAGCAAAGTCCGGGCTGTGACAGTGACCATGGGGGATGAGCGAGGCAATGTATTCAACAGGTTAGGACCCTAGGAATCTGGTTGCTCTGTAGCTTGGGAATGTGGGGGCCAAAAGGCACAGGAAGGGGAGGGCAGACACAACTCAGAAACAGCCTCAGATAGTGGGAGAAGCCACAAGCTCTGAGTGAGAAGACCAGGCAAATCATTTCACTGATTTGCTAGATGGCCTTAGGCAAGTCATTTAACATTTGTGGGCCTCAGTTTCCCCACCTGTAAAATGAAGGGATCAAATGGGTGTGGTTCAGTGGAAGAGTCTGGAATCACAGCGGAATGGCGGTCAACTCCCAACTCTGCCACCCACTACCTGGGCCTCCATTTCCTTTTCTATAAATAAGGGAATGAGATTCAATGATCTCTCAGGTTCCTTCCAGATCTAAATCTACCAGCTTCTGAATTCAACAAATGTTGGTTAAATACCTATTATGTGCAAAGGACTCAGCACACTTAGTAGTCTTGTCCCTGAACCTCAGTTTTCCTCTCTGTTCAATGAGGAGACTGAATTAAATGGTCTCTAAGGTACTCTCCTGCTCCATTTCAATGCAAGAGGCACCCATTAAGCGCCTGCTGTATGCCAGATGTTGCGCTAGGGGCCAGGAATACAGACACAGAACCTCAAGGACATCCAGTCAGTTAAGCAAGGAGCATTTATTAAGTAGCTACCCTGCACTGAGCTAAGCCCATGCCTTCTCACTGCCTCTGAGAATTCTAGGAAGTCTCCAGTTCTTAGTTCTTTTCTTACACGGTCTCATTCTTGCACCCCTGTCCTTATGAGCAGAGAAAATCCCCTCATATGCCCTCTCTGGAGTCTTCAGTCCAAATCAACAAGAATTTATTAAGCACCTACTATGTGCCAGGGATACAGACAGAAAAAAGCAACTGTTCTCTGTCTTCAAGAGGCTTACGTTCTCCTGGGAGCATGAAACATGGACACAAATCAGTGCATGAGAAGGGAAGATGAGAGGGGAATGAGAGTGCTAACAATCCAGGGGATCAGGGAAGGTTCCCTGAGCAAAGCTTTCATGGAAAGTGGGAAGCAGAGAATAAAAGTTGAATTGAATTGGACAACGGCCATGCTTGTTAGCCGCAAGGTAGATTAGAAAGATCAGACTAGGTGACTCTCAAGGTCCTTCCAGCCCTGACATCCCCTGTTCTAAGGGCCCTCCCATCTCTGACATTCCCTGTTCTAAGACCCTCCCAGCTCTGACATTCCTTGTTCTAAGGCTGCTCCCATGTCTGACATTCCCTGTTCTAGGACCCTCCCAGCTCTGACAATCCTTGTTCTAAGGCCTCTCCCAGCTCTTACATTGCTACCACAAAAAAAGATAGTCAGAGCCCCTCGGTTCAAATCCCAGCTCTCTCACTCATGTCCAAACTTTGTGATCACAACCATGTTGGTTCACCCCATTCTCTGCCGGACCTTCACCCTAGTCATGCCCACTAGCTTGTGGGTGTCCCCAGGGCCCCATCCTGGGCCCTCTTCTCTCCTCTCTCCACACTCCTTCACTTGGTGATATTATCAGCTCCTGTGGATTTAATTACCACCTCTAAGCAGATGATTCCCAGATTTATCTCCAGCCCCCATCTCTCTCCCGAGCTCCAGGCCTGCAGAGGCATCTCAAACTCAGCACGTCCAATATGGAACTCATGATCTCTATTCTCCCAAAGCCTCCTCTCTTACCAACTTTGCCAGTGAAGGCATCCAAGCTCGTCACCTCCACCTCATCCTTGATGCCTTGTTCCCACTTCCCCCATATTTCCAATCTTGTCATTTCTTCATGGCCTCTTTCTTCATGCACTCTTCTATAACCATGGTCCAGGCCCTGGTCACCTCGCACCTAGACCATTGCCTGCCTCAGGTCTCCCCCACTCCAGTCCATTCAGCCACTAACATGATTTTCCTAAAGCCCAGGTCCAATCATGTCATTCCCCTATTCAGTAAATTCCAGTGGCTTCCAATTGCCTCCAGGATCAAAGAGAAAATTCTCTATTTGTCTTTCCAAGCCCTTCACATCTTGGACCCTTCTTACCTTCCCAGTCTTCTTACTCCCCTCCATGCATGTGGTGGTCCAGTGACACTGGCCTTTTCCTGTTCCTCAAACATGACATGCCATCTACTGACTCTGAGCATTGGAATTTACAATGAAAATATCTTGTATGGACATAGCCATTTACTTGTCCCCATCACCCCCCCCCCATAGGAAGCAAACTCATTGTAGGCAGGGACTGTGCTTTTGTCTGTCTTTGTATCCCCCTTACTTACTTAGCACAAGGCCAGGCACACAGTAGGCACTTTATAAATGCTGGTTGACAGACTGTGAAATGAGGGGGGTGAACTAGAAGACCTTAAAGGTGCCTTCCAGCTCAATCCTTTGTATTTTAAGAGATCATGTTAGAATCTTGAGTCTCTGGGATCAGACTTTGATTCTCAGCTCCTCAGGACTCTGGATCTCATAGTTCATGTTTTTGGAGGGGAGGGGGCATGTCTCTGGGGTCAGGATGCGACTGAGGATCTCTGGAATGATTTCTGGTTTTGTTTCGGGATGGGTTTTTTTGAGGTAATCAGGGTTAAGTGACTTGCCCAGCGTCACCCAGCTAATAAGTGTCTGAGGCCGCATTTGAACTCAGGTCCTCCTGACTCGAGGGCTGGTGCTCTATCCACTGCACCACCTAGCTGCCCCTGGAATGATTTTTGGAGTCAGGGTCTGGGTTCAAGGGCCTGCAGGATCCTAGGTGTCTAGGTTAAAGGTCTGTTCTTAGATCTTTGCTCCTCTGGGTTCAAGGTCAGGGTCTGAATCTTGGAGTTCTTGGGGCCGGGGCTCAGGGCAGTGACTCCTCCCTCTCCTCTCTCCTGATTAGCCTGAAGCGCAGTAACTGCTACATGGTGTGGGGTGGGGACTTTGTGAGCCCAGGACAGCAAGGACGCATTAGCCACACGGACCTGGTCATCGGCTGCCTAGTAGACCTGGCCACTGGCCTCATGACCTTCACGGCCAATGGAAAAGAGAGCAACACCTTTTTCCAGGTCAGCCTTACTCCAAGGAGTCTCCCACCTCTCCCCTCAACCATTCAGCTGGATGCCCTGAATGGATTTTCCTTATCAATCCACCCATCTCCAAGTTCTCACTGAGCCTTCCCCAGTTTTCATCTCCCATCATCCTATGGGAGAGGCTGAGCAGAGACCACCAGAGGCTGGCTCCTGGAGAAAAGTGAGCTTCACATCTGGCTACAGAGACAAGACTCAACCCTATGAGTTCCCATCCCCATCCCAAAAAGTCCTCTAGAAGTCCCCTAGGCTTAGGTGTGAACCCAGAAGTTGAGGGTTTGGAACATTTTGGGAGGGAAGAGGGGGACTGAGGCAGATCTAGTGGGGACCCATGCCTGGACCCTGGAGGAAGAGGAAGCCTGGGAGGTAGTGAGAGGTGTGTGTGTTGGGAGGGGGGAGTGGCCTGGTCAGAGGCTAGAATGAGCTGCTGTGTCCGGGGGCACATATTGATGAGAAGGAATAAAGCAGGACAGGGAAGCTGGTTTCGGGCTCTTCAGATGGCAGCCTGAGGGGATTCAGACATGCTAGCTGGCTCTCCCTCATCTCCTCCCTTTGACCTTGCCAGATAGAGACCCTGAGTCAGAGTGACCCTACTATCCTTCCAACTGTGGTCCGCGCCTCATGTCCTCCCTACTTTCTCCACCAGGTGGAGCCAAACACAAAGCTGTTTCCAGCTGCTTTTGTACTGCCCACCAACCAAAATATTATGCAGTTTGAACTGGGAAAGCTGAAGGTGATGGGGCAGGGGTTGTGGTGTTTAGGCACAGGGGGGTTGGAGAAGCTCAGAGGCGGGAGGTATCTCAGTGGTCTGGGGTGGTCGGGAGCTTCCTGAAAGAAGTGGCAAAGATGGATGAAATTTTGGATGGATGGATGAAACGAGTGATGGGTGAGTTAGGTGAGTGATGAATGGATGAATGAAGGAATGGAGAAAGTTATCTGTGGATGCAGTGAGTGGCCAGTGAATGGGGTGAAAGATGGATAGATTGATGGATAGAGGGAGTAAATGATACATGGGTAAAATGAGTGGCCGCAAAGTGAGGTAGGACAGGGGCGGATTGATGGAGTGATAAATAAATGGATTGACCGGCCAATGGATAGGTTGAGGGATGGATGGGATGAATATTGGTTGGCTGAGGTGTGTGATCCATGAATGGAGTGAGTGGCCAATGGATGGAATGAGGGATAGATGGATAGATAGATGGAGTGAGGGATATATGGCTGGAATAAATGATACATGAGTGGTGTGGAAGGCCACTGGACAAAATGAAGATTCGATTGCTGAGTGGAAAGAATGATGGATGGATAGATGGAGCAGCCAAATGGATAGACTGAGGGATCAATGGAGTGAGTGAATGTTGACTGGATGGAATCAGTGATTCATAGATGGAATGAGTTGTCAAATGGATGGGATGAGGAATAGATAGGTAGGTAGGTAGGTAGGTAGATAGATAGATAGATAGATAGATAGATAGATAGATAGATAGATAG